AAAAAAAAAAAAAAAAAACGAGTTTGTTAACGGTGTTAATTATATGGGTCTTGGATTGATAGTTTTGATATATAAGTTTCATATTGATAAAATTTATCATTGAAGTCATCTTTCGGACTTTGTACCGACAAAACCCCAATATAATAACGCAAACACCTAGCTCGTCAGACAATTTTCTTATCTTTATTTCTTAAATTTCCATTCAATTTCCATATAGTATATTACCGCTTGGTAATCTTATTGGCAAAGTCATCAAAATTAATATTAATGTAATTCCACACATATACATTACCTTAATATTCTAAAATTTATTAGTTGAAAAAATATCACACAAAAATCCTATCAAGATTTTAGCACTAGTGTACCCATCCATGGTCGCGTGAGAAAGAACAAAGCTTCATCAATTTTCATCACCACCAATTCTTCTTTGACTTTGACGAAGTCAGAAGCAATTTTATATCAGGTACATAAACTTTCCACCATCCTCACCATGGCTGGCCAATTCCTCTACATCCCATTATAAATACCCCATCACCACTCCCCTTACATTCACTCAATTCCCACAACATGAACTCCCTCACCACAAAAAAATCTCTTTTCCCACTCCACACACTGCTAGCCCTGGCCCTCTTTCTGGCCACCGGGGCCCAATGGGCCTCGGCCCAGAACTGTGGCTGCGCCACCGACCTGTGCTGCAGTAAGTTTGGCTACTGCGGCACAGGCGACGCGTACTGTGGCGAAGGGTGCCAGCAGGGCAAGTGTTACAACAACAATAATAACAACCCACAATCTTCAGGTATCGTGACTGACGCCTTTTTTAACGGGATAATTAGTCAGGCTCGATCAGATTGCCCTGGGCGAGGGTTCTACACCTTGTCCGCTTTTCGACAGGCAGTCGGATCTTACCCTGAGTTCGGGACAACCGGGACAGCCGACGACTCCAAGCGCGAGATTGCCGCGTTTTTCGCGCACGTCACGCATGAGACTGGCCGTAAGTTCATCGAAAACCAAAATAATAAGTAACACATTAAACAAATTAAAATTAAAATATATTAACATTTTTTTTTTCTCGAAAAATGCAGATTTTTGCTATATAGAGGAGATAGACGGGGCGTCCCATGACTATTGCGACAAAACCAACACGGCGTACCCATGCGTGCCGGGTAAGGGATACTATGGTCGTGGCCCGTTACAGCTGTCGTGGAACTTCAACTACGGGCCGGCGGGCCAGAGCATTGGGTTCAACGGGCTGAACGACCCTGACATTGTAGGTAAAGACCCGGTTATAGCGTTCAAGACGGCCCTTTGGTTCTGGATGAACAACTGCCACAAGAAGATCGTGTCCGAGGGCTTTGGGTCCACTATTCGGGCCATTAACAGCATGGAGTGCGATGGGCGGAACGCTGATACAGTCACTGCCCGAGTTAACTACTACACGGACTATTGTGGACAACTCGGAGTTAACCCGGGCGATAATACGAGGTGCTAGAGAGATATATGGAAACTTCATTAAATCTATATGAGTTAGCATGTTGTGCTTCTGTTCCCGGTATTTTATATGTACCGATTAATATATGTAATGAATAAAAATGTTCGACAACGGGTGCTATTTTCCGGCCGATCCGTTGCAAGTGCTTGTATTTTGATTCAAAGTTGGCAATTTTTATTTTTAAATCACCGTGCGAGACTTTTATCTAAAATTTATTTTTTTTTAGTATATTGGCTGTCAATTATTAAAGTATTACTAATTACATTTATAGCATGTGTATAATATATACTATTTAATCAAGAAACTAATTTTATAACGTGAGTTGTCTTAAGTTGATATAGTATGGGAATACAAAATATTTAAACTACAAACTTAAAATAAAGTTCAAAATAATTTAAAACAATACCACTAAAATTATTATTTTTACATAATAAGAAGTGATAAAATATTAATAATATATTTATAGTATTAGTAAAATTTAAAATAAAATATCTACTTTTTACCTTTATAATTGAATGATCACATTTTTTACGCAGAGCCTAACATTTTATATATGTTCCATCATAATATGTAGTTATTTAATTCTTAAACTTTTCATATTCCATTACACTGTATTTTCTTATAAAAAAATAAATCATTAAATCTCATTATTTGGTTCCAAAAATTCTAAAGTACTCTAAAAATTATTTTATTTTTAAATTTGTTAATAATTTTATGTTCTCAAATTAAATTATAAATAGTTGTTCATCAATATATAGAATAATAACTATAACAATTGGGCTTAGTTTATATATATAAATGAGAATATGATTTATTTGTAAAGTACTTTTTCTTTATAACACCATCCATTTATGATATTTAATAAATTATTAATAACATACTACAAAAATATTAATTCATATGAGGAATAGATCTGCTATATATGTAGTAACTCATACTGATATGACATCATTGTGTAAATCGAATAATCAATCAATTAATTTTAAAATATTAAAATTTTTATATTTTTTTTTATAAATATGCATATAGTAAGAAAATTTTAGTATATTCTCATTGTTACAAACATTTACCACATGAAGCGTAAAATACTTGTTATTTCATAAAATTAAATATATTTAATAAGCAATTTTTTTTAGATTGATCTGTTGATTGAATTAGCTATATTGCCTAGGTTGATTGTGTTTATAATTTTAGGTGATATCCAAAATAGTCAAAAATACATGGCATAACTTGGGTTGATCCCGGGTGACTAAATTATAGGTCAATTTTGTCATACCAAATCGATTATTAAAACAAAATTAAAATTTTAATACGAAAAATTATTTTATTATGATAATGTAATGTAGTCCAAACTCCAATAATTATATTTAAAAGGCTTTTTATGACAACATATCCTATGAACATTCATATATAATAGTATGTAATCCGTGCGATGCACGGGCTGTATTTATTTTTAAAAATAACAATAAGTTGAAATCTATTACTAAATAAATAATGTTTCGTAAGATATTTGTAAAGTAATCATAATTTTTTCGTTGGTAATAATAAGTCATACATTATTAAAATTTTCATTGTACACAACATTATTAGTTTGATTATTGGGTAACTCATCGTCCCCACAAACTAATATTTTCAATCACTTCCTAATAGTTGCACATAAAACAACAACATATAATTGACTGTGATAAAAAAACGATTTCTTCAAGAACAACTATATGGGATAAAGATTAACCCCGACAATATGTCCTTTTATATTTTTGTATAAGATGCTTTTCGTGTGAGTTTGATTGGATATTTATAAGTCCCACATTCGTGTCAAAACAAAAAATATGGTATGAAATTGAAGTGATAATATTTCTTGGTGTGGTAAATATCACATATTTTGTTTATTCAGATGATACTAAAATGAAAAAGATTTTCACCACAAAAATTATGATATCGTACAGAAAAAGATCGTTAAAAATCTCAAATTTAGTTACCATGATTTGTAGTTGAATAGAACCGAATATTATGGCAGTATTAAACAAATTATTATTATGATTAGTGGATTTTATGTTTATCTCTTGTATTCTCTTAGTCTCATGTAATCATCATATTGATTCCAATATTTGGAATAATTTTGATTGTATTTGCATAACAATATGCGAAAAATGTTCTTACGTTCAAGTAAGAGATTATTTTTATGAATATAAACACTTATAAATCAAATTTATATAAAGATTGCATTTCATATTTATCTTTTTTATTTTAGCATTCTCATTGATTTTGTGTTTATTTTTTTTTTATACTCGTAGTTTCATTTTATGGCCAATTCGATTCCAATATTTGGAATAAATATAAAATGTAATATTTAAAATAGATTTGTTACGTTTAAAAAGAGTTTTAGATTGTATCTATTGCATAACAATATTTTAAAAAAATATTATTAAGTTCAAATAAGAGATTTATTTATGAATAGAAACACTTGTAAATCAGCTTTCCATAGACATTACATTTCGTATTTATATTATTTTATTCTAGCATTTTGTAGTACAAACAATAATATGAGAAACATGTGTGAATTAAATTTTATTACGATAAAAAACTAAAATAATAATAAAATTTGATCTGCGTATATCTAAAAGATGTTTCACCACAAAATTGTGATACAATAAAAAAAAAGGTTCGTTGAAAATTTTGATTTAGTTTGTATGCCTTGTAGTTGAAAATGATAAATATTAATAGAAAAATTCTTATTGTATCAAAGTAAAATAAAACAATCATAAGTCCGTAAAACAAAAATATATAAATCAGAGGATAAAACAAAAATATTAAATAAATAAAATAAAAATCTACAAATGATGTAGGAAAAATTTATTCCATATAAAAAAAAAATCTCCAAAAATCTGATGACAAGCAAAAGAAAATAGAGATATTACACAAAAAAAATATAATGTTCGGGATCTTCTCTTCCTGGCAATTTTTTTTTTTATTATTCTCTAAAAAATTTTCATAGTTCTTGGAATGAATTTATGTTGAAATTTATTCCAAGAATTTGAGGTTTTCAACTGTTGAAATCCTATGGTATAATATCACTGTAACTATAGTTGAAATGTAAGTAAAATGGACCATAAAAGATGGTCAAGGATTTGTGATATATACATATGATGATTCGTGTCATTCACGATGGATTCTAGTTTTATTTTATGCATATGTGAGAGTGAAATTTTATGGTCAAATTTTCCTACGTAATTAACTCCTATTTGTCCCTTCTTTAATTGCATGATATTTTAACTTCTAAAAAATTTCTACCATTTTTATTCCAATTATTTGTTAATATTAATTTTGAATTTGAGAATTAATTGTTTCTTTGATTTAAAAAGTAATGACTTCATGAAGTGAATTTTAACAATCCTTCATACGCTAATATGACTTTACTGCAGTATTTATGAGATTTATATGAGATTTATTTTACCTTTACTTTATAAAAGATAAAATAAAGTATACAAATTAAATGAGATTTGTGTATATATAGAATTCTTGTATCACAAAAATATGTTACCATAAAAATACTGGTTTACCTTAAATAAAATGATTTAGACAAAATTAATACAAATAGAATCCCTTTTTTCATGAATCCCCTTCCTAAGCAATGAATGTTTTTTTTTTTTTTTTGGTTTTGTTTTGTATTTAATATGTGTCTGATAATTCTGTTTTGGAAAGTCATTAATTATTTTGGCGAGAAATTCTTACTAAAAATGAATTAAGTTGATCCTTATTATATATAGATCGATATCTTTTTATTAATATTTATTTAAACAAAATGATACTGTGTCACAACTATTATTACTCTATGGTAAATTCAAGATTCTCAGAATCGGACCATCATACTGATTAAGTTATTTATTCAATGATTTATTGGTTGGATAAGAATTTAAGTTATTAATCCTTGAATATATATAGCACCTTTACATATGTAGTTTATTCATATTAAAAATAATGTTAAATGCTAAAAACTTTATTTTAAAAATTGAACCGGTCCTACCAATACGACCGACTGTTGTTATCCAGTTCATTAATCGAAACCGCACCGGTTGATAAACCAGTTCACCATCCCTGTAGGCGGACGGTCCGATCTGGTAAAGTTTTGAAAAAAAAATAGATAAATCACGATTAATTTTATTTATATATTTATTTATAATGCAATCGTAATATTTTCCCCTTGCACGGACCACGTTCTAGTTTGAGTAAATGACATTATAATGAAAATTTGAGGAAAAACCAAAATTTTGAAACTCGTTCGTTGACAAAAGAAAATTGAATCATTAATTAACTTTTCATCGTCCCTAAGAAGTTGCAGAAAACGAATTACAGTTCAACTGTTTTTGTAAAAGGAAATTGCATGTGGAAGTTGAGTTCAAAATTTTGACATGAAAAAACGGGTGGTATATATTTTTATCTTAGCATCATTTTCTGGGTTTGCACGTGAAGTTAGACTAATAATAAAAGAGAAAATTGCAATTTTAGTCCAGTAACTTAGGCTGTTTCCTATTTTAGTCCACTAACTTAGGCCGATCCAAATTTGGTACAAAAACTCTCAAAAGTTAGTCCAAAACCTTAGGTTGTTTCCCATTTTAGTCAACTAACTTAGGCCGATCCAAATTTAGTCAAAAAACTCTCAAAAGTTAGTTAAATCAGTCCAATTTCAGTCCAATTGATTGGTCAATTTCAGTCCAATTTTAGTCCAATTTTAGTCCAATTGAACTGATTTAACTAACTTTTGGGAGTTTTTGGATCAAATTTGAATCGGCCTAAGTTAGTGGACTAAAATAGGAAACAACCTAAGTTGTTGAACTACAATTGTAATTTTCTCAATAATAAAATAACCGACTGATGAGAAGCACACCAAAAAGTCTAAATTGTCCGATGATTGATCAGATGGATTAGCACTAATTTTGGCACACTGTTCTTAGAATTAGTCATTGCGGACCACTTCTTAGGACAACGTACCCAAGTCAAGT